ACATTTTTACTACCATGCTGCATAGTGAACCATGGAAGTTATGACAGAGAGGTGCCTTGCATTCTGCTGCCCTTGCTGAGCTCAGTGAACTCCCACAGAAAACTGTGAAAGCCAAATTTTCAGCCATCTCAGCAGGATTGCATAGCCAGGTCTGACAAAACCTTAATTCCACTTCTCATTTGCCACCTCCTGCCCCTCAAGCAAAGTAAGGGCTTGTCTAAACTTAGAAGGATCTGCTGGTACAGCTACATGGGTAAGTCTTCTTGGTAAATACATGTTTAAGCTGATGCATCTTATATTGATTCACTGAATGAAACAAATGATGCCAGCAAGAGACTTTCTCATTTACGTAACTGAGTTTGCACTAATACTTTGTAAGTACAGCTATATCCATTAAGTGTGTGTGTTTGTTTTTGCCATGCACCTATTCCAGTAACAATTCTAACCAAGCCCAAAGTATTTTACCCCAAACCCGCTTTTGCCAATCAGTGCAGCCACATGCGCACTATTGGCTTTCACTAGCACAGGCTTGTTAGGTACCACTTCCTATCACTTCCCCAGCAGAAACTGCTGTGTTATCAAAACTGTGTAGCACAGACCTGGTTCATTACAAGCTATCAAACAGATTTTTTCCTAAATGCTATAAAAAGCACCACCAACTTCCTCCATCTCAGTCTAGGAAAACAGAGAAAGAACACAAATTTCCCACTCATAAAGGATGTATGAAATAAGTACAGGACAGGTTCAAAGCTTGAAAAAGGACACGAGTCCTAGCCACTTCTTGGTTCTTCTAAGACCTTCTAATCCTTTTCTAACAATATGCTGGGCTCAAATTAGGTGCAATCTAAGCTTCACTTAAGATTGATTGAAATTCTTGAACAGAAACATTAAGATTTATATATTGGAAATGCTTCTGTAGACCAATTTTTCACCTTGTTCAAAATCCTATCAGATGCTGTAATCTCTACTACGTATGCCAAAGAAAGATGAAAACATTGATATGTCTGTCATTAGGGAAGACATCTCCCGAATCCCCTCAACAAGTAATGTGTCTATTCTGAAACCTTATAATCTTTTTATCTTATGTAGTGCAACAGTGGTCATTCTCATTATGGATACTCAATCCTCTCAAAGATCATAAACTTCTGGCCTTGGTAATATTACTGTGGCAAGAAGTTCCTCATGCTCACTGTGTGTGCTGCAAAGAAGCATTTCCATTAAGGATTTTTACACCCATCTCATATTCACTGCACAACCTGTGCTACATTACTATGGGAACTACTGTCCACTCTTCCTCCCCATAGTTCTTCACAATATCTGTATGTTCATCAAAAGCAAGACAGTCAGGAAAGTTGATGTGAATGAAATTGATATTTTAATTAAATGCTAAAGGATTAATTTATCTATGATATAAAAATGGATAAATCATTACTACAGTAAATCCTTTTACGGATAAAAAAAATCAGACTGAAAATGGATTTAATATCATTTAGCTCAATTCACTTCAAACAAAATGAAAACTGCTGATATTTTGATTAAATATACTTACAGTGGTTCAATATAGTTCAACTCATCATTTTAAATTCCCATGCTCTGTAACTTCAAATATTTTTTCCTAAATATTTCCGTGCAAATGTACCTTTTCAAATCACAGATCTCACTCAACATTGCCATCCCTGACATCCAGTCATTTTTGTTGTTACAGTGACCCTTATTTTACCATACCTTTTCAAGGTAGTTTAACTGGGATGAAATCATTTCCACAAAAAAAGGTTTTCTAGTGTGAAGAATAATGTGGCATTAAACACTGTAAACATGTACATCTTACTATTTAACATGAAGAACAGGCATGATATTAGTTGTTTTGTGTGGATTAAGCACCTGAATTTCAAGCTCGTCACAATAGCCACTTCAAGTCTTCTACTTCTAAAGCTCCTCTAATCTGGAATCCAGTTTAAATAGCAATAATTAGTATTCCTAAGAAATGCAATATTCTTGCCTGAGTCAGTTCCTGCATAATTCACTGTTTAGCAGTATAAAATCTGTCAGTGTCATCAAAAATAGTTCCAATCCACAGAAAATGAATGGATACTTTTAAATTCCAACTTGCATGTATCACCTTCACACGTCCAGAACCCCAGTGGACATTAGCAACAGCAGCAGAAAATAAGTTCCCAACATCCAGTAGGTTTGTGATGAAGGGACTATACTGCAACTAAGCAAGAGGAATTGTTTTTCTTAGTGTACTATTGTCTGCTAAAGACAGTAATTGCAAGACTGAAGTGTTGCTTCCTATCAACTGGAGCTTGCCTTCTTTAAGGTATTAGTTGATTGGCATAGCTCTGAAATAAAGTGGCTAACAGGGAAGCAGTGATGTTTTAGCAGCAGGCTAAGCAGTGACACAGAACAAATTATTCTTTGGAGAGGTAATCATAGGGAGGGCTGTAAAGAAAAATAAGTGTACCAATGGGATAGAACAGGAAAGCTGTCACACTTAGTTTCTGCTCATTAAATCTCTATGCATCTAGTTAGTTATGTCAACTGCTAATACCTAAAATGACAACAAGAACAAGAAGAAGCTAAGAATAAATTCCCCATGAGTGTGTCCATGGATGGACTTGCTGTAAACTTCGCTGTAGTCACTAGGATGCTGGTTTGCAGTGCAACATTGCTGGGGTGCATGTGTGTTTTTATCTATTTTAAATAAACACACATACACAAATAATGAGTATCACCTACTGCCTCTGGTAAAAGGTCAGGGACCTACTCACACCTGCCATTACAAAAACTACCTCCTCACTTGAGAGTTAGGCAAGTTTCCAGAACTAATGGCATGTTGTCTATTTTTTTTCTCCCTCAGTTTTGAATCTCAGTTGAGGTCTTCCCTAGTAGAGCCCTGACCAACTGGATCCAAATTACAGCCATTCTCACCAGACACCTCCAGTAAGTACTTTGCCACACCCATGACATCTAGGCATGAAGGTCTGTTGAGCCTGGCAAGAGATTTAAATTGTGTTTCCTTTTAAAATAACATTGTAGATGCTTCATCATCTAACACCTCCAACTTTTTTTTAGTACCTGAGAACAGATCCTCAGCACATTTCTAAAATACAGTTGCTTGGTTGAAAATGACTGCTTGTTTTCCAGGATCTTTAAAGAGAATCTGGCTAGGAAACAAATAAGAATTGAGATGTGACTAACCAAGGTAAAGGTTGCTTATATCTGCAGATTACCCCTCTCTGCTTTTCTAATTCACTCACCATGCTTTATCTTTCCATTAATCTTTAATAAAACTTTTAGTTAATTCTCCAAACACACACAATATACATGACAGCAGGACACAGTGTAAAAGCAGCTCATGGATATGAAGAAATAGGCAGTAGAGGAATCAAAAGGAGAGAAAACTTTTAGGATTAAAAAACACCCCAACCCAACTGCAGCTGAGTGGAAAATGATGAGCCATAAGGAGAAAGCAGTAGGAAGAGGCAAACCGGGTGACATAGCAGTCTTTTAAGGGTGTTACTATTTCTCTCACCAGGGCCTTCCAACCCCTTTCCAACTTGGTTACATTTTGACAAAAACAGATAATAGGAATTCAAACCTGTAGATGCTAAAATGTGAAAAACCCTTTCTAGGCTGACATCAAGGATATGGCTAGATTAAAAGGTAAATCCAATTTAACCAACCCCAGTAGAAATGGTAATCAAATTATACTGCCTCTAAACATGATAAATCTGGGGCTTGGGCCCTCAGGGGAAGAGAAGGTGTTTTGCAAACACAAATAAACACAAAGAAACATACTAAAGGGAACTGCTAAATCAATGAATGAATCATGACTTCTACCCTCCATCCCTCCCACAGGGTGCTCGATAAGCTGCTGATTGCTTCTAAAACATCTACTACCAGTGTTGGAAACTGATTAAGCAGCTTACAAAGCACTGGGGGCTAATAGACAGGCCCACCAGGGAGACTGCAGCTCTGGAGTTAAGTAGCTTGCTATTTCGTGGCTTGATTATTAGAGATGATAGCAGAACATGCTGAAAGGATGTAGAAATTTGCTTTAGATGACTGGCCTTTTTATTTTATATATGGAATCATTTCAATTCCGTGACTTCACCAGCCAACAAAAACCTGCGGAATCTGTGGCTCTGTAGTTTCCAGCTCTGAGGGCAATTTGAACTACATCAATTTAAGAAATCAACCGAACACCTCAAAATGACTATGCTGCCTGTTACCCTGAAGAAAAGATAAGGTTGGACAAGTGAATTATCAGTGGAAGAAGCTTAAAATAATGTGTTTTACATGTCACTGACAACAGCATAGAAGCAGATGGTGCCTTGGTCAGCTAGCACATCTTACCTCATTGCTTCCTTCATTGTGTATCTAAGTATGGCAGCACATTCACCTTAGACTCCCTGTCCTTTTCAGTTCTTTCTTCTTGTTTAATCTTGTATGTGACAGAATTCTGCTGTTCAGGCAGATGCATTGCAAGCTGTTCACTTAGCTCAATCAACACCACCACAAAGACATGTTTTGTTGGTGCATTATCTCTTCCACGGTCATAGTAACACTGCCTGGCTTTGTAGTGTGCTTGATGAACTTTTTTTTTCCTTTTTAGTATTGTTGTAATACCTAGCAGACTTACTTAATAGGCATGTTGCACTAGGGACTGTACAAACTCAAATTCCTGAAGAACTACTCTTTCAAGCAAAAAAGTAAATACTACTTGTCACTACTCGTCTCCAGTTGATCTTCAGATGAAAATTTCTCCCAGCAAAATTTTCTCTTGTGGCCTATTTCCAGTTCTATTTCAACACTGCAGCTCTAGGTTTTCTCTCTCAATACTAACCAACGGCCTGTTAGCCCACTTTTATATCAAACCATATGCCACAGAGATCACTTTAAAGTAAAGCAACTTACATTTTGGTTAATTTGAAGTGGGAATATACAATTAGCATTGAAAAAGGTGGTAAGAGAAAAGAATTAATGAATGAACTTACCTGCTGGAGGTCCGCCAGAGAATAAAGATGGATTTGCTGAAGAAGATACTCTCTTGGAAAGATCCTGAAAAAGAGAAGAAATGATACATTGAAATGCTTCTAAAAGATAGGGTTTTTTGACTGGGAAACTCAAAGATTTCCTTCCTTCCCCAAAAGACTGGGGAACAAAGGCATTAGAGAGAGAATTTGTCATTAACTACTTTTCAACATTCCTCAAGGACACAACTACTCCATAATTTCCACAGTGAGAATGAATACCACACCAATGTCATTTGCCAACATGTTTTCCACCATAAAACTGACTAATAAAGATTCCCTTTTGTATATAGAAAATCTGTATTGGTATAAACTTTACAAAGACTTATTTGAGACAGTTATATTTTTCTTACATAAAACATGGTTTCAAGCAAGACCATTGACTATTGTCTGACAAACATGTGCAATAAAGCTCAATTACAGAAACTGAAACAGATGTCCTTAGAATGACTAGTAATAAAATGAACAATGGGATTCAAGTAAGAGTACAGAGAAAATCAACTTTGTAAAGTCAAGTGGATATTAGCAAGAAAAGTTTATGAAAACCCATGCATCTGTTGGGAAGAGAAAAGAATCTAATTAAAATGTCTATCTTTGTTCGAACAGAGGCACAACCAGCTAACCAGCTTCTTTTTCCATCTGCCTAGAACAAACAACACCATGCTTAGGTATTCCACTGAGAAGATAATTACATCACTCTTAGGGGAAAAAAAAAAAAGAAATCAAGCATGTGTAGAATAGCAACTACTTTACAATATATATTGTTCAGAGAAGAATTTCCTATGCTACAATCATGACAATCACATAGTTTTCAAGTACCACGGAAACCAAGTTACCGACCTTATTTAACACATGAACAAAGCTCTGATGAAAATAGTTTTGCAGTGGTAGAAGTGAATGAACAGAAAGTGCATTGGACATGAACAAAAAGAAACCATCAAGATACTAAAAGATCGATATGAATTTGATGATAATATGAAACTAATGACAAAGTACACAGGAACTCAAGACATTTTAGAAACTGGAACAACATAATTAGCTCAACCACAATTCAGCAGGCTTAATAGCATCAACAGCAATCTTTGACAAAACACTGAATCTCACAAATAATGGAAGCACCCTGTTTCATCCTGCTTATCAGGTGCCTTAAACAAGTATTTTAAGGTGATGATTTCAAAGCTGCCTTAGAAGGATTAGGACTTTTCACTGCTGTTAAAGTGAGCGGTACGAAATCCTGTCACCCTTTTTGTGTTTTTGGAAAAAAAACTAATCTTTGTTGGAGTGGGAAGGAAAGAGTTCTGCAAGCAAGGCACTGACAACTGGGCACTGCCAATTTCATAGCACTCTTCTGGAGCAAGATTATGCCCTTGCTCCTTCTTAACTCACCAAGCACATCTGCCCCACCCAGCTGTTTCTCAGCTGCTGTTTCACTAGGCCAGTGCATTTTCCCCTTTCAGTTCTGTATGCTATGCTGTTGCCTCAATCAGAGGTGAATGTGTTTCAGTGGCTCTGCTGCATCATGCCTTCATTATACATTTGGCACAGTGTCAAAGATAGCTAGAAATCAGTCAAAAATCCAGGTATCAGACAACATGTGACACTTGGATTCCTCATTTACATGTAGAAGATTATTAAAATTGATTGCTAAGATTTAACTCTGAGCAGCATTTCAAAGCCTTTAGTATTCTTCAGCTCTCGTACAATTTATCTCGTTAAAATTTCCCCTTTATTCTCCCCTGATCACACACAGGCACTAAACAGCATGATAGCTTTGCCAGGAAGTGTATTATTTGCTGACGCCCTTACAGTACTGCTAAGGAAAATAATTAGCTAATGAAAGATTTCCTTTTCTAGGCTACAGAAAGTCTGTAGCCTGAATAGCCCACAAGGCAGAAACTGTCAATGACTAATACCAGTGACTAACATCACGTTCCCCTGCCTTCAAGGACTGCATTTTATTTCCTGCAAATTGTAACTTCTAAAAAGCATGCTGACGAAGAGCAAACTAAGGATCAAGTGATGGCCACTGCCAGAGGTCTCAGCCAGCACATTCCCTGGTGACAGTCCACCTCTCCTCACATCCACCTCCCCTCCTGAAACGTGTGCAATTCTGGTTCTGTAGACCCAGCATCCAGTACTTGTCCTTCCTTCCAAACATATTTCCAGGAAAATAAGTTGGCACTACTCTCTCAGTCTAATGTAAGGCACCGAAACACACACATGAATGACACTCCAGCTAAAGGAATAATTACTTTCCAGTGATATGGAAACTGAGGCATTAAAAAACCCTCACTAAGTAGGGCTGATATGGTTTCAGATTTGCAAAAGTCTGAAAAAGTCAAGAACAAACAAAAAAACACTTCAATGGTCTAAAAGCTCAGTCCCTGGTCTCTTAAAATATAAATTACGTGCCTTCATCTCACCTGTTGTGAGCTGAGCAATGAAACGTTACGGAATGTTGGTGAGAAGGTTCAACTTTTGCTGCCATACCACCAACATCTGCCTCTGACATTGTAGGCCAAAATAATAAAGCAGGAGACACTACTTTCAGAGCAATTGTTGCAACTTGGGAAGGCACTGCTTCAAAATACATGCTTATCACAAGCGTTGTCAGCCTCTAGTAGGTGGAGAACAGGAGCAAAAGGCACTAGAATACCAGACACAAAGGCAAATTTAAAAGAAAACAACAACCAAACAAATACTATAAAATGCAGGTAAATCAGTTGGGGCAGGAAATCCACACTGACTAAGCAGTCCAGTGAACAAGAAAATGAATGACATCCAGCATTTCCAAAGGTCCTCCATAAAAGTTCTCTAAATCTAGGGACATGACTGTAACGTATTTTGCAGTAAGGGCACACAGGAATAATTTAATAATTCAATGTCTCTCCCTTCTTGTCTCAAGATACCTCTTCTCATGCAGACTTCAAGTCTTTCATCTTCATCCTTCTGCCAACAGTAATTGAAATTGAACACAGGAAACCAGACATCAGAGTACTGCAGGTGAGATGGGACTCACACAATCACTGTGACATCGCATTAGCATCTGGACAAAGTATTACATAGCATCCAAATCAGCCTAGAATCACATCTGTGGTTAAAATTGTAATACGGACTGCAGAGCAGAATGGGGTAACTACACTCAGAAACAATTCACTAGAAAATACATCTCTACTTTCCACATGAGAAGGAACTTTGAACATGCTTGGGTTAATTTAAGTCCTCTGTCTGAAAAGACTAAAACGTGTTTGCATTCGGTACTTTTAAGTTTTTCTTTTGACATAAAGGTCCTTTACAAACACCAAATGGGAAATCTCTTGCAAGTCATTTGAAAGCAAAAGAAAATACGTCCACTCTGTAAATCTTTTGATTGATGCTCTATGAGACACTGATTTTTTTTTTCCTAAAGTCAATTAAAAGCATTCAATAAACAGCGTCCTTTCAGTCAAATCTTAAGGCACAGAAAAAACTCAGAGTGAGCTAGGCAGAGGTCAAATGCAAGATGTTAGGACTCATCACAATAAAAACTCAAACTTCTGCTGCTTCAGAATGTGACCTGTGACCCCTGAGAAGCAAATGGTATCGAGTGCACGTCCCACTAAAAGCACCTCCTAAGCTTTCACGAGGTTTGGAAACTACCAGCCCAGTTTCATCACTGATGCAAAACAGAACAGTTATGAGTCACAGGATTGCAGAGCTGTAAACCCTGGCTACCAGTCAGAATTAAGCCTGCAGTGAACAAACTAAGTTCAATGCCAACCAGCCCTTCAGCTTTGCCAATCCCCATGAACAATGAAATTCAAAGTCCTGTTGGTTAAAGGTCTTTTAATTGCTTTATTGTAACATGCTAGCAAAGAGAGCAATCGATGCAAGCAGGAAAGAAACTTACCATTCTGAGACTTTGGGTCCAAATAAAACAGAGAATTAAGCATTCTCAGATTGTGATTATTATTATTTCTTGTTTGATATACATCAGCCTTCAGGCAAGATAGAACTTGAAATTTCAACTGTTTCCTTTCAGAGGATCTTATCATGTAAGTATTTGCACAAACAAAGGTTATCTTTTAGTGTCCTCCTGCAAACAGAATCACCGATAAGGCTTTGCTTTTTGCATTTGGACAAAGTGTGTAGTCATGGTGCTTTGTTAGCACTAAGTAATTGCTCTGCATTTAAAGCCTGTTTATCATCAGCTTGGGTCATTTTTCTCCAGTGGGTTAAATACCCCGACAGCTTGGCTAAAGCTTCAACTAATTAATCTGCTCAAGCCTGACACTATAACCAAAGTACAAATGTGATAAGGAAAGTGAACTCTTCTTTTTACACCACAAGTTAGCTGGCTGGTGGGACAATCAAGTCTCTTTTGTACCAAAAAGCCTGATGAAAATGGAGATGGGGGCAGGGAGGGAAGGGGAAGCTGGCACCATGATTTCGTGTGCCAGCCAGGAACGTCTTGTTTGGCCAGGTTGAGATTTGCGTGGTTGAGCTCTGATTCATGGGAGATGCAGATGCACCAGTCTAGCATGCTGCCACATTCAGAAGTTCTCTCCACCCCTCTGCAGGAAGCTGGTACACCCACAGTTGGCACAGCAACCCAGATACCAAGTCCATTTCCTCAGCCAGCACTGTTCGTAGGCTGGCCCTACGACTTACACCACCACCACTTTAGTTCTAAGTTACTGCACCAGCAGGCAAGCCAGCACACTCTGATTTCTGCCATTCCTGCTACACTGAGCGCATTTTTTACCCCCTAGACAAGAGGCAACAGAACCTCTTAAACCCTTGCATTGTGCACCTCTGACAGCTGTGACTGTGTATGCAGCAGGCAGGTAGGAGAAGCTCGTGCTCTTATCTCTTTCACTGCACCTCAAATTTTTCAGAATTACTTTAAGAAGTGGAGAGGGATACAAATAACTCAACAGTGAATTCAAATACATGGGTCGTTAATTTAAGTTACAGAACAGCAACAAAGATGAGGGGGAAAAAGTAGAATGTTTTACTTGCATTACTAATTCTTATAATTTTATTCAG